GCAACAGTTTGGTACCATTTCGTTAACAATGTCCTGAGAATAACAATTAAGGCCAGTTATCAACAGCAAATTATCTGTCTTTGTTCACAACAAAAACAGAAATTGCTGGAAAATCTCAGCAGCATCTGTGACGAGAAATCAGAGTTAACGCTTCAGGTCCAGTGACCCTTCCGGGCAACTGAGATCTGTCTATGTTCTTTAAAACAAGCTGCTCTTCAAAGTTCAACTCTTAATGTCCACATAGTTTCAAATCTCCAAAAATGAATAAAAGAAAAATAGTGCGGGCCTCTACACAATGAGCTGTTGATTTGTACTATAAACTGTGTAAAAGTCTTACACACGTTATCAAGCCATGCTATAGAAGTTTTTACTAAACCTGTTCAGAACCATTATGACACAACTCTGAATCAGGTGGGACTTGAGCCCAGGCCTTCTGATTCAGAGTTAGGGACACTATCACTGCACCTCAAGAGCTCTCAAGTCATGCTATATCTTATTACACATTGTCTAATGTGTAGTAAATATTGGCATGGACACTGGGGGAACTGGTGGTTGTCTTTGATCTATGTAATCTTTAACATTGAGCTAAGCAGATAGACAGTGCCTGATCTTGAGATCTCAGCTAAAAGCTGAATTTTAACGTGAACTCTACAATCTGATAAATCTGATGAGGACTATCTCAGGAATTTGTTTTTTTTTCCATGTATGGATCAAGATGATGACATCTGGAGTGGACTTGGCAAAATTCAAACTGATAGTAGACTGAAGGCGTGATAATTGGCTGGATTGTTTATATTTCGCTTATTGTGGATCAGACATATTTGGGCAGTTTTCACTTTTACCGCCATGTCAAATAATGTGTGACTTGCTTTATTGCTCTTTACCAAAGCTGTCATTCAGTAATCATTCCTTTTGAAATAAACACTTAAAAGACACAAAATGGTTTGTAAAACTGTAGTTGGTTCCCAGTTTAGTTCATTTTGCTGTCATTTGTACTTCTCAGAGAGTGAGGCTTGAGTGCTGTTACTAGAATAAGATTTACTTTAAAAACAATCATGACATTATGTAAGGATATCAAAGTGTAAAGCACCTCCATGGAAATATAAAATTTGAAAGAGGAATTCCACTAAAGAGCACAATATTGTTTAACTTAACATACTATTAAAACCCTTTTGCTATTGTGAGGATTGCAAAATATGTTCTGATGATTTGAAGGTTGCTGTATTGTTCTATCCTTAATCCTATCGTAAGTTGCTCTGCAGACAGTTCTTGGTTAATTTTTTGCCTACCTATATATTTTAATCGATATCCATCCAACATATGCCATTCATTGACTGAAGGGTGAGCAACTGTCAGTGCTACTGTTGAACTGACCACTTAGTGATATGCAGGAGTGCCTGGCATGACTTTTAGTTTATCTATTTCTTCTTTCTCCCCTAGCCATGTCCCATGCTGCCATCTGGTAGGCACATCTCCTGATGGCTTAGCTGAATTTAATGAACCTGTCCAAGTGGGGAATTATTGATATTACTATTTGAGCTATTATGCTAAATTTTGCATGCTCTGGCACCTCTCAAATTTTAAATGTTCCACAAGGTACAGATGTGATGTCTCTGGTTGATGGATGTGGGTTCACTGAAATTTTTTTTTAAACTATTGCCAGGTTACAAAATGCAGTATTCCTTGTGAAACTCATGTAGAATTATTTACAATTGCACAGAAATAAGTGGTTAAAAACTGCACATGCAGTATTTACGACTTAGAAGTGATGTTTAAGCTCTTTTTTTTCATAGAACCCCTACAGTGTGGAAACGGGCCCTTTGGCCCAACAAGTCCACACCGACCCTCACAGCACCCAACCCAGACCCATCCCCCTAGAACCCACCTAATCTACACTGAACACTATGGGCAATTTAGCATGGCCAATCCACCTAGCCTGCACATCTTTTGACTATGGGAGGAAACCGGAGCACCTGGAGGAAACACACGCAGACATGGGGAGAATGTGCAAACTCCACACAGACAGCCGCACAAGGGTGGAATCGAACCCGGGTCCCTGGCGCTGTGAGGCAGCAGTGCTAACCACAGTGCCACCGTGCCGCCCCTCTCACAGGCAACTAAGCAATAAAATCAAGGACTGGGTCTAAACTAAATTAAGTCCTTCATGGAGCCTTGTATTATCATTATGATTGACTGATTGTTTTTGTTTGTAAATATTCTATAGTCAATAATGTTTTAACATTGGCAATTTTTAAATTTTAACAGGAATCAAAGATATTTAAAATACCTATGTTATCAGTATCAAGTGGTTGCCAGTTCTTTTGCAATCAGTCCCCTAAATGGCTAAATTATTAATTGTTTTGTTAGCTGGCATTTTGGAGTTACGAACACCATTTGGTCCTAGTGTATGCCAGAAGTGTGAATTTTATGGTATTTCGTTGTTACCTTTAATATCCGATACCTTTTCTTTTTGTTCAATTTTACTCTTTCAAAATGTTTCAGAGAGAACGTTGAACATGGCGATATTTAGCATGAGATATCTTGTTAAAATTGTTGGATAAGAAAAATTTGTTATTCAGACTTTTAAACTATAATTGATACCTAATAAACTTCTGATATCACAAAACCTTGTATTATTGTAACTTTGTGAAGTTTTATTCCCACTAATTATTTAGCGTGCTATCACTATAATTTTAACAGGTTTACTTTAGTTGAATACTTGTGATGAGATTGTGTTCCTGCTGGAAATAGGTGATGCCCATTAATTTTAATTGTTTGACATTTTATCAGATATGTTATTGGCACAGATAAACAGAGAAACTCAAAGTATGGCGGAATTCCAGGGAATGGGCAATGGTCAGCACGTTACACTGTGCCTAACAGAAGCAGTAGCAGTAACAGGTAAATCTCTACAAGTATTAATCTTTGTGTTTCAGTTTTAATTTTGTGAATTTTTTTTTTCCTTTGCAAATTTTCAGGTTGAAGTTAACACCAATGATTTGAAAAAATAGGAGGTAAATTCCACAAAACAATATAACATTTTTTAACTAATGATTCTAACAACACAATGGTTTACTACTTAAACAAAAATTGCTGAATGATGCAGGATGGTTTCTACCAGTTAAAATACTGTTGACGTAGTTTTCCTATTTTGTTTGTGCAATCTATAAAGCAATGGCTGGAATTTTGCCGGACTAATGGGGGTCTTGCCCACTGGTCTGAGAAATGTTAAGAACCCTCTGTTAGCTCTATGGGGAGGACTGAAGGAATCAAGTGCCATTCAGACACTTAGTCCTAAACCACAATAGGCTGTTTTCGAGATTGAGGACCCCATCTGCCAAGAGCTTGTGGCCCGTCAGCTCCACTTGCCTTTTTAACCAGCAGGTGCGGTGGCTGTTGGCAGCACTGTACCTGCCTGAGGTCCAGAATCACAGAGGGATCCCTGGTCACAAGTGATTGAGGGTGAGGTAGAATTTATGCAAATGTAGGATTGGAGGCAAAAGCAGAATTGTGGCCATCAGTGCCCTTTCACATATCTGATGCCAGCTCCATTAATTAGAAGTATAATTCTTGCTCATGTGGGATCCCTATCCTCTTCGTACCTGCCTGTTCCCTTCAAAATCCAATAGGTTTTGCTGGAAGGCATTCTGAAGGCCCAGGAGACCTGTACAACCTCCATTTAATCTCACAGCCACTACTAAATTGCAGTAGACTCAGAGATAATGGGTACCATTTGGCCTTCTGCCACTGATGGCCAAACACCTGTCAGTCCCTTCACCTTCTGATTTAATCAAGGGAGGTTTTCCTGCCACCAGGCGACTGATATGGAGCTTCTCCCATGATATGGGTTTAATTGCCAATGTTCCTATAGCAGTAGCTTCAAAAAGTCCAGCCCAATGTTTGGACCAGTCTAATGGTTTGCTGTGGTTTGTAGAATTTTTTTCAAGTGTAATATTGAATCAGCTGCCTGGGCAATTTTTTCTCATTCTTTCATGGATGTGGCATTGCTGAATATACCATTTCTTATTGGCCATCCCCATTTGTGCTTGAGAAATTGATGGTGAGCTGTGTCCCTGATTTGCTGCAGTCCCTGGATGCAGGGTCACCTTCAGTGCTGTTAGGGAGTTTTGGGATTTTGTTCCTTTACTCACTGAGTCACTGATACAATTCCAAATCAGGATGCTCTGTGGCAGGGAGGAGAACTTGTAGGTGGTTATGGTCCCATCTGTCTGCTGTCATTGTCCTTCTGGTTAATTGAGGTTGGATTTGGAGGCAGATTTGGAAATTACTGTTGAAGAAGCCTTGGTGAGCTACGGTAGTGCATCTTATAGATGGTACACATTGCTGCTACTGTGCGTCAATGGTGAAAGGAGTGAATGCTGAAGTTTGTGGATGGGGTGCTGAATAAAAAGGCTGTCTCTTCCTGGATGGTTGAGTGATGTTGGAGCTGCACTCATCAGACACTCTTGACTTGTGGATTATAGATGGTGGACAGGTACTGGGCAGGTAGGAGTTGAATTACTTGTGCAGAATTTCTAACTTCTGACTTGCTCTTTATAGCTGTAGTATCTACATACATTTACAGTTCAGTTTCTGGTCACTGGTAACCTCTGTTATGTTGATAATGTGGGTGATTCAGCAATGGTATTGCTACTGAAATTCAAGAGGAGCTGCTTAGATTTTCCTGTTTTAAATAATCATTGCCAGGCAGTGATGTGAATGTTACTTGCTAGTTATCAATCCAAACCTGGGTATTGTACAGGTCACACTATACATGAACATTGACTGCCTCAGTATCTGAGGAATTGTGTACAGTGCTGAACGTTGTGCAAGTATCAGAAAATATCCACATTTCTTACTTTATGATAAGGAAGGTTACTGATGAAGCAGCTGAAGATCTTGGACATGACTGTGGGGAACTTCAGAAACGATGGCCTTGGACTGAGATGATTGACCTCTAACAACCGCAGCCATCTTTTTTTGTGATAGTTATGATTACAGTCAGTGGAGAGGTCTCCCCCAATGCACATTGACCAGTTTTGCTAGGGTCTTTGATCCCATTCTTGATCAAATGCTGCTTTGATGTCAAAGCCAGTCACTCTCACCTCACCACTGCTCATTTGTTCATCTTTGGACCACACTATAATGAGGTCAGGAGCTAGGTGGCCTTGGAAGAACCCAGAATGAGTGCAGTATGCAGGGTTTTTTTTTTTGCAAATGCCACTTGACAGCACTCTTGACCGCCCCTTCCATCACTTTGCCAATGATTGAAATTAGACTTACAGGGCAATAATTGGCTTGGTTGAATTTTTCCTGCTTTTTGTGGACATAATATACCTAGGCATGTTTCCACATTGTTAGGTAGATGCCAGTGTCGTAGCTGTATTGCAATGGGTTAGCTGGGGTGTGCAATTTTTTCCAGGAAACACAACTTTAGTACTATTGCCAGAATGTTGTCAGAGTCCATTGCCTGTATAATACCGCTGCCTTTAGCAGTTTCTTGCTATCATGTGGGGTGAATTGAATTGGCTGAAGACTGGCATCTAATGACTCATCCATTAGGCAATTCTGGCTGAAGATGGATTCAAGTGCTTCTGTCTTGTCTTTTACATCGATGTGCTTGACTCCCCAGGTGATATTTTGTGGAGTTATTTCCTCCTGTTAATTGTTAAGTGTCTACCATCATTCCTAGATGGTTGTAGCAGGGCTGCAGAACTTAGATCTGATTCATTGATGAGGGATTGCACAGTCCTGGCTATTTCATTTTGATTCTGCTGTTTAGTATGCAAGTAGCCTTGTATTGTAGTTTCCACCTCAGTTTTAGATATGACTGGAGCTGCACTAGGCATGCCCATTGTGCATTCCCAGTTTGATGGTAATGGTAGAGTGGAGGATATGCTAAATCATTAGATTACACATTGTAGTTGAATACAAGTCTTCTGCTGCTGACAGTCTACAGAATCTCCTGGTTGCCCAGTGTTGAATTACTAGATCTTTTTTGAAGTTTATTCCATGTTGGCAGTGTCACACAACATGATGGAGGATATCCTCAATATGCATACAGGATGCTGTTTCCACAATGACTGACAGTATAGTAGGAAGACTGCTGTACAGTCCTGCATCTGGTAATGGTTGATTAGTGAGGACGAGGGCAACTAAGTTTTTTAACCTCATTAGTTCTCCCACCACTTGCCGCATGCCCAGTCTGTCGACTATATCCTTTAGCACTTGTCCACGTTGCTCAGTAGTGGTACACTCAAACCACTATTAGTGATGTTGAAGTCTCCCACCCACTGTACATTCTGTGACTGTGCCATTCTCAGTGCTTCCTCCTAAAAGTATTCAACATAGAGACAGGAGGTGATAATGAGCGTGAGATTTCCTTGCCCATGGGGTCTGGAGTCAATATTGTGGACTCCCAGGACAACTCAGCCCTAACTGTATATCACTGTACCTCCACCTCTGGGTAGTTCTGTCCTGCTGCTGGGACTGGATGTACTTAGGGTATGATGATGGCTGTGTGGGACATTGCCTGTAAGGTATGTCTACGTGAATATGACTATGTTAGGCTATTGGTTGACTAATCTTTGGGACAAGTCACCCACTTCTGGATTAGGGTTTCAGATGTTTGTAAGATGTTTGCAGGGCTGGGTGTGCCAGTCTGAGAACATGTGAAAGGAAGAAAGGGAAAATACTTTGTTCACAACTCTGTTTGACTCAGTTACTGAGGAAAAGAGGAGAAAACAAAGGGGTCAATTAATAGCACATGGTTAGATTAGTAAAAGGTTTTGGACGTAAATTCTTTGCTGTTCAAAATTGTCAAATGTTTACTAATCTCCCATAGGAAGTGTATATAATTATGATTGCAAGGTCAAATGCTGCTATTCTGCAACTGTTTTGGTCAGTATTTCTATAAATGATACAAGGTTTATCAATGACAGTATTACTTTAATATAGCAGATGACTAATATAGGTGCCCTTACACAGAACAGCAAAAAAAATCCACCTGGGAGGGGGGAGCTCTTGTCGTGCAGTGGTAGTGTCCCTACATCTGACCCAGGAGACCCAGGTTCAGAACGCACCTGCTGTATAGGTATGTAATAACATCTCTGAACAGGTTAATTAAAAAAATATAAACCAAACATCCTACTGAAGCAAATTAAAAACAGTTTATTTTTCAAATTTAAAGGAATTAGTGGATTAGTTAGTAGTTCAAGCCACTTTGCTGTGCGTGAATTTATGTCTGTAGAGTGTCCCGTGGCAAATGCTTGATTTCAGTCAGACTTATGTTAAGCTCCGTTATGTACATGGAATGATAATTGACAACAGTGTCCTCTCCACTCTCTTTTGCTTTGACTCCATGTTAAATGGCATTGGCAAAATTAGACGGAATCTGTGTTGTTATGATCGACCTAATAGGACAAAAACAATTAAATTTGGGAGGGTGCAGAATCACAAATGTTGTGATAATGCAGTTTTTGTAAACATTACTGCTCAGTTTCTCCAATTTTCCTTTCATCAACTACCCAATAACGTACGTTAGGAAGAGATTGTTCAGTTTATGTATAAAATTATTTTATAATTTACCTATTCCAAACAGTAATGAGTCTTTTTATTTAGATGGTGATCGACTGGAAAATATGGACGGTGTGAGTTTACAAGCTGTTACTCTTGCAGATGGAACTACAGCATATATTCAACACAATCCTAAAGGTGTACACTTTCTTGGTGAATTTCTAATTATACAGCAATTCTTCTATTTAATGTTTGTTTTGTATAATTTGGTCTTCTAAAATAATCTAGTTTACAGCTATAACTTTCTTTTAACTTGATGTTAAACACAAAATATATAATAAAATAAATGTGTGCCAGACATATAAACCTTGCCTAGTTCCCAATCACCACTACCGATGATGCTTATCCACTTCTCGGATTTCTTCTGTTGACATGTGAATATGATTCCACAGGCACAACCACCCTCTAATACCCCACGTTGAGTGAACTTGTACATTGCATGTAAGTAAATTGTTTAACAACAGTGGACATTAAAACACACTTTCAGCTCCCTTCACCATCTTAACAGCAAGGAGTCACTAATCATGAATAGTAAACCCATTTCTTCTAGTCATCTTAGCCTAAGGATACTGTAAGCAATTTTAGTACCCTGTTGCTTGCCCTGACTGAACTCTGGTGACTCTGAACAGGGTTAGTTCCTGGAACATTCCTGATCTGGATTGTGCAGCAGTGACACCATAGGTTATTTACCTGTTAAGTGCTTCATCTCTGTGTCTTAAGATATACCTAATGTGTTTCAGATGGGAAGTTAGTTGATGGTCAAGTAATTCAACTAGAGGATGGTTCTACAGCATATGTCCAACAAGTTTCAGTACCAAAATCAGGTGAGTGGTGATCAACAGTGTAAGTTAGAATCAAGGTGTATGATAGAAGTTGGATAAGTTAACTTTATCTTGCTATGTATCAAATTAAGTTGACAGCAGTTGCAATGTGAATGCAAATAGAGAAATTTCATTCGGATAGACAAAACTAAAAGTGAAACTGTCTCAATATTTCATATGTAACTATGGATTTAAATTTTCTTAAATTCAACATGACGTAACATAAAATGTCACAATTATACCATATGGTGTCAGAAAGAACAACACTGATGGCTTGGTAAACAGAACATGATTTTAGAGGTAGTCACTGATCAGCTGTTGTTGTTTGTGTCAGGAAGTTCTGTGGGAATCAAGAGGGGACCTAACGTGAGGAAAGCAACAAAAATTGAAATTCTGCTTCCAAATAGTTTGCACCTGGAATAGTATTGCAAGTGTCAACTTAATTTGTAGCTCTATTCTAAATTAGAAGGTTATAGGTTCCAATTTTGCCGACACTTGTACAAAGGATGTGGAATGATCAGAGATACTGGCTTTTGGGTCAGACATTGACCCCATCTGCCACCTTAGAAAGCTGTAAAAGACTTTAGAAGTGCAGTGAGTAATTGAACTGGTCCTTCCATCATGACTAACTTTTCTCTTTTCGTCTGCACTACCAAAGCCAATTCTCTAGTCATTTATTTTCTATTTGTGGACTTTGCTGTCTGTAATCTAATCACTATATTTACCTTTTTGTAACAGTCACTTCTTACAAATTGTCCTGTCATGGAATATGGACATCACTGGCTGGGCCAGAATTTATTTTGCCTTCTAGAACTGCTGCAGTTCCTGAGTTTAAGTTCACCCACAGCCCACAATGAGGAAGGGTGTTCAAGATTTTGATCCAGTGACAGTGAAGCAATGGTAATATAATTTCAAACCATGATGATGTGTTACTTAGAGGGAACTTGTTGCAAAAATATCTGTAAAGTAGTTTGAAACAATATGAGGCCTGTGCTTTCTTAAATTTCATAAGTTTGCCCATTATTCCAGTTTATCATGCATTACCTTGAGCACTCCGTCCCTCTTCAGCAGTCATCCCCTCTCACTTCAGTGCACTGTTCTCCTGCAAACCTGGTGGGTCCTCTGCGGCCTACAGATAACTTCAAATGACTTACAGTTGTAGTGAAGCAAAGAGTGACATCTTCCCTCCCTGTTGGAGATCCTCCCATTCAGAAAGCAAATGTGCATTCCATCTAAACGTACAAAGCACTAAATTTAAATTGTTGCAGTCCAAGGGGCAGATGAAATTCATACTGAAAAACAAAGTGTAGAATTTCCAAATTTTTTAATTAATCTTTCTTGGGATGTGGCATCTCTGGTAGGGCCAGCATCTGTTGCCCATCCTTAACTGCCCTCAATAAATTGGTGGTGAACCACCTTCTTGAAAACTGCAGCATTTCTGTAGTGGAGTGGTACAACTTGACTGGGCCACCAACTAATTTCAGAAGACAGTTAAGAGCCAACTTCCTTGCTGTTTGTCTTGAGTCTCATGTTGGACACACTGGGTAAGGATGGCAGAATACTTTCTCTACCGGGCTAAGCAAGCCAGATGGATTTTTAAGACAATTGATGGCAGTGACCATGAAACTATTATTATGTTGAGCTTTCAATTTTAGATTTTATGAATTAAATATAAATTCCACCTGCTATCCCAGTAATGAGATTGAACCTGTTCTCCAGAGCGTTAGCCTGGCCTCTGGAATACTAGTCCAGTGCCATCATCACTGTGCCACCATCTCCCCTGTTAACGGTGTGAAATGGGGCAGATACCTGGGGCCATTATATGCAAGTCAAAAATAAAAGTATTTTAAGTGTCTTCAGGCCATGGATAATCTTCTGTGGCCATTCTTTACATTTTCAGAAAAAGGTGGTGGTAAAGCTGTTGAGAATGAAGACATCACAGTGGGATACCAATCTTGTACTGTCTGATAAACAAAGAATGAAACTTTATACCTGCTATTATTGGACAGCTGCAATAACAACAAAAAACAGCTAGAAAAACTGAGTAGGTCAGGTAGCATCTGTGGAGACAAACAGAATTTCCAATGAAATGTGAGCTCTCGTCTTCTCAACAGATCTGTTTCTCTCCACTACCTGATCACATTTTTATAGCATTTTCTGTTCGAATTTCAAATTTCCAACATCCACAATATTTTGCTTTTGCATTATTGGATAATATTGCAGACTGATGTTTTTCATCTTCATAGCCCAACTGCATTAACATATAATGGTGACTTTATTTTTGTGAATGTCTTAGCAACACATAAGAGTGCTGAGCCATTGTGGGACTACTCCTTTTCGATTACAATAACTCAAAATTTATTCAAAAACTCCTTGTGCTGACCATTCTCTTGCAGGAGATTGTCTGCGTTTTGAGGATGGACAGGCAGTCCAACTAGAGGATGGATCAACTGCATTTATCCATCATACCCCAAAAGGTAATTCATTAGAGGTTACAGTAAACCTGTCATCAGAGAAAAATGATATTATTCATAATTTCCTTTCTTTCTTTTATGATTAAGATGGCTATGATCCAAATGCAGTGCAAGCAGTCCAGTTGGAAGATGGAACTACTGCCTATATCCACCATACAATACAAGTTCCACAATCTGATACCATCCTTACTGTTCAAGCTGACAGCACCCTGGCGGGACTACACACAGGAGAAACCACAGTAGATCCTGAGACCATCAGTGCACTTGAACAGTATGCTACAAAAGTAAGTGTCTGTTTAAATGTCAGCAGTGAAATAGCACTTGACACTTTGAACTTTTGAACTTTCGTTAAAATTATTTCATACTATTTAATTTTTAATGTTTTGTATAGAGTTCAAAACACATTTGGAATCTCAAAATAATCAGTCAGTGTTGTTCTAGAGATGCTCTACCGAAACCCCTGAGTAAAACGGGAATGTTTGTTACTGTTAGGTGCTGAAGGAGAAGATGGTACGATGTTGAATGGATGTCAGAAGTTGTGAAAAGTAAAAACATTAGGCATCAATTTATATCTCTGTTTAAAAATATTTCTTAGCATTTTATCTAATTGTATTCAGTTTTTTTTGTATAGGTAACCGGTGATGGAAGTGAAAATGTCAGCAGTACAGGATTAGTGAATGAGAGTGATCATGAGAAAAAAATGCAGGTAAAGCATTCATTAGTGCATAATAAGAACTGGAGCAGTAACATTGATTAGTTGTGTGAAGTTATATTTATTTTACTCTGATTTCATTGATACTGACCCTCTCGTAACTCTTCTAGTACCTGTTTAGTATACTCCTACTCACAAAAGTCTGCTTTTGGACCCAGCACCTCTCGAACCTGCATCCCCATTTCTAGTTATCAGCACCCCTCCTCTGCCTGAACACCAGCTCTTGGAGCAAGATCCTGAGCAAAGGCTTTCCCAGCAACTCCCAACAGCGAGAACTTACTTAGTTCATTGCACGCTGCTCCTCCAATCACAGGTTGCTTCACTCCCTCATTTGTTACTGATAAAGCACAAGAAAGAACCAAACTGTGATTGGAAGAGCTGCTCCTCACTATTTCTTTCCATCCTATTTACAGGGACAACTTTTCTCTGATCTGTCACCCGCATAAATGAAAGTTGTTCTTTTGGGGATGATTTGCCTGCCACACCTGTGAATTTTGAGTTCTGATTGGTAGGCACTGTACTATCTGTATTACATAAGTATAGCTTTTCAGGCATGAGCGCATCTTTGAATTAAGTTTTAAAAATATACTCATTTGCTTCCTGTCTTTTGGGAGTGACTTAATATGAAGTAAAATAACTTGTGTGGGAGCTCAGCTTAGAAGCTTGATCAGAGCAATAGAAGTTGCAGCAAATGTTTGTTATACGATTATTGACATAAAAATATAAAATTAAGGGGAGATATTGCAATCAAATCACGGTCACGTAGGATCCCATTTGTGTTGTTTCAGTGCTGTAAGAATGTTGGAGGTGAAAAGAAGTTAGAAATCAGGTGGCAAGAGATAGGGGTTAAGGGTGGGTTTTTGAAGAAGGAAGGGAGAGGGACCCATTTACGTTTCGGATCCGGTGACCCTAAGGGTCACCGGACCCAAAACATTAACTCTGATTTTTTTCTTCACAGATGCTGCCTGACCTGCTGAGCTCTTCCAGCAACTTGTTTTTTGTACCCATTTACAATGTCGGCCAGCCAAGGAGTCTAGAAATTAAGCCCAGTGCTCAGCAGTTTAAATTGAATTTCAAATTCTAGTGTGCCATGATCACTCTTGCCTAGAAGGTCCTCTCAATGAACTAATTAATTAATCTTGCCTAATTACTCAATACCAAATCCAGGATAGCCTGCTCCCTGGTTGGTTCCCTAACATATTGATCCAAAAAACAATCTCTAATACATTCAGTGAACTGTCCCTTGAGGCTACCCTTGCAAATTTGATTAATTTACTCTATATGTATATTACAATCACCCTTGATTATTGCCATACCTTTCTTAGTTTATACAGTGCCCATTGCAGAACTACAGCACTGCGTAACTACTATTTGGGGATCTGTGCACCAGGGATTTCTGTTCCTTTTTTATTTATCTACCCGGACTGATTCAACGTCTTCATTCCTACCAAGTAATTACATTCACTATCTCTATATAACTACTTTTTACAACCACATCTGCTTTACTAGTGAACACCAATTCAAAGTATTCAATTAAAATACTACCCATGTCCTCTGGCTCCATGCACCCATTATCATCGGGGTACTTAATGGGCCCTGCTCTTTCTATAGTTACCCTTTAATCCTGAATATACTTGTAAAATAAAATGGGATTTTCCTTTACTTTACCTGTCATTATTCTTTCTGCCAATTTTTCTGCTCTTCTATTTTCATTTTTAAGTTTCCTCTTGAAAATTTGGTACTCCTCTAGGGTTTCTGCTGGTTTGAGCCCTTGGTTGTTGCCATAAACTTCCCTTTTTCTCTTTATCCTATCCTGTATATCCCTTGATATCCAAGGTGTGCTGGATTTATTGCTTAGACTATGAGTCTTTATGAGAACATGTTGGCCTTTTACTCTCCCTATTTCCTTCTTGAATGCCCCCACTACTATGACACAGATTTACCTAAAAGTATTTGCTCCCCTCTGTCCAAATTACACCTGATCTAATTAAAAGGGGCCATCCCCCAGTTTCGTATTCTCATTTCAGACCCATTCTTGTTCTTTTTCCATAACAATAACAAATCCAACAGAGTTATGATCGCTGTCTATAAAATGCTCCCAAGCTGATACTTCAGCCACTTGCCCAGTTGCATTACCTAAAACCGCTCCCTCTCTTATAAGGCCTTCTACATACAGGCTTAAAAAGCTCTCTTGGATGTATTTTAAGAATTCAATTCCTTTTAAACATTTCACTGTATGTCTACCTCAGTTAATATTGGGGAAATTGAAATCCCCTATCACTACCCTATTACTTGTACAGTTCTCTGAAATTTGCCTACATATCTTCTCTTCTGTCTCTCTCAAACTGTTATGGGACCTGTAGTACACTCCCAGCAATGTGATTGCTCTGCTTTGATTTTTAAATTCTACATTTGTAAACTCTGCCCTTCTTTTCCCATGCTGGGTGCCGTTATCTGAACAGCTGCCCTGTGATACTACCATATCCTCGTGCTTTATAAGCCTACATTTCCCCGATCCCACCTCCAAACCCCATCCCCACATTTGTTTATTCACCAGGATATTGATCCCAGCACTGGAAGCCCATCCCATGGAACAGCTGTCTTCTATCCCAGTACTGTGCCAGTGGCCTGTGAATTGAAACATGTTCCACACCAGTTTTGAGGTCCACATTTAACTCCTTGATTTTAATTGCCCTGTGCCATTTTTTTTATTGGCTCAGGTAGAATTTAGCTCCAAATCGTTCACATTCTTTCAGCAGAACATCTTTTTTTAGTCTTATCAACTTCGATGGTACCAACGTGGATAATGGCAACTGGGTACCTTCCTTCCCACTCCAAACTCCTCTCCAGCCCTGAGGAGATGTCTTTAACCCTGACACCTCACAGGCAGTACAACCTTTGGGACTTCTGTCTACAGCTGCAGACAATAGTATATATCATCCAAATTAAATGATCTCCTTTAACTATTTCTTTCCTATTTCCTCCCCTTATTTGAATGGCTCCCCATATCTTGGTCAGTTTGTTCATCTTCCTTTCAATCTTTGCTCTTTCACACAGCTTGCAAAAACCCACGTAACTGTTGGACAGCTTCAGGGAACAAGACTCCTTGAACTCTGCCTCCAAGTCCTCATACCTGTCTCACCTGCAGTCACACCCTTCTGTCCCTGGTTACAGACCAAATTTGGATGAGCACTGACGTTACCTATGAAGCAAAGCGTCTAGTTAATTTCTTCCTCCTTGATGTGAAGCAATGTCTGCAGCTTCAACTCTGATCTGAAGTTCCTTGAGCTGCAAACACTACAGATCCTCTGATCATTTTGGTGTCCAGCAGCTTCCACATGCTGCAGTAGGAATACATCACCTGTCCTGTTATCAAAATTGAATTTTATTTATTTATTAGTTAATTTTTCCAGATTAGCTGCTCTTTATATATTATCGTAATGTTTCTTTTAAAACACCAATCTCCTTATACCTGAGCTATTTTAAAGAAATGAAAGCAAAAATGACTGGAGACCTAAACACACACTTACTAGCCACCCCACCACTAGGAAGGCCTCTGTTTCTGTGTCTTCTTTGCTCTTTTGTTCATCCTTTGCTCTGCAGACATTACTTTTTTAAGTAAGCTTTACTTAAAGTACTTCTTTCTCCCACTGCCCTGAATTTCCACTTTGAACCAAATTCCCAGATATACTCATTCTGCCTTTGTCTCACTCAGATAAAGTTTCCACACACTGATATCAACTTGAGTGTACAGGGCACAATTTCAAAAATTACAGATTACACAAAAGTTGGAAGTATGGCAAACTTTGTTCTAGCTGGCACTTTATGGACCAGTACTCTTGATAAACCAGCAAAAATCATAAATCTGAAATACCGGAAGTTTAATATTTTATTGTGATCTCCATGATGTCCGAGTAGTCAGTTGAGGGTGTAAGTGAGAAGGCTCTCTGCCGGTGAGTTTTATTTAAGTGATGTATGCTGTAAATAACGTATAACATTTAAGTTCATACACCCTGCATTACATTTCTGTTACTTAGTATGTGTTTTTACATTGATTATGTGGCCCTTTTGATCAATATTTGATAATATTGGTAATATTTGATCAATCAGCACATTCCTACTCCCAAAGGTGCCATTAATATAAAACTTGCTGTATTGTGAGCTGTGAGAAGAATAGTCCTGTATTTCAAAGGGACATAGGTTGCCGGACTGAATGGACAAGTGACAAATGAAATTTAATGCAGAGAAGTGTAAAATGATTAATTTGGCAGGAAGAGGAAGGAGAGGCAAAAATGAAACAAATGGTACAACTTTAAAGTGAGTGTAGGACCAGAGGAATATATGGAAACTGTTCCCATTAGTGAAATGATTGAGAATGAGGGCATCAACTTAGGGTGAATGGCAAAAGAAACAGCATGCCGTGAAGAATTGTTTTTAGATGCAAGTGTTTAGGATCTGTGGAGGACAAATTACTGAACTGTTGTGAGAGTCAGAAAACGTCTTTGAGGACTGTGATGACAACAGTTGATCCTATGTGTCACCAAGTATGGATTGTCTGACTTCTATTTGAGTGTCCACCGCAGCACTGAGACAATGAACGATTTCTGCCTGTACAGCATTGGAAGCTGAGACTCCAACCACCAAATATTGTATTGTACCTGGGTCTGAAAGTGCTGTTATGAATTTAAGCTCCATTTCTGTGGTGAAAAGAATTGCCTTCTAGCTTTGCGTGATGCTGTGTTACATTGGAGCCAAACCCCTGCACATTTCTTGATGGTGGTGAAAACTATGTGACACAACTTGCAACGCATGAAGCATGTTAGTGTGCATATTCATCAGTTTTCTCCTGTAGGCCACTGTATCATTTGAATCCCTTGTAACAAAGCTCATGCAACCTCGCTGTCCAGTGAGTTAGCACATGAGTTATCCTTGTCTTCTGCTCAGCTTCACCTGACACATGTTTGGTGAGCTGCCATATGTGGATCTTGGTTCTACTCCAGCCTTTAAAATTTATGTAGTCCTGTATCAGAGCTGATGGCCGTGAGTGTCCAGTCTTTTGACAGTGCTTCTTGCCTTTGTCCTTTTTTTGGAAGTTGCTGTGTCAGCCAGGTGACAGTTTTTGGATGTCTAAATGCAGAAGAGAGAATTTGGGGCAAAACTCAGTATACCAGGTGGCAGCAACTTGAGGGTTGAGGGTGGGTTTTTTGAAGTGGGAAAGGAGAGGGAGCCATTTACAGTATCAGCCAGCAAAAGGGTCTGGAAATTAAGCCTAGTGCTCACCCCCAAAATTGCTTGAGAAAATTCACTCCGAGGCATCAGAGTAAAGACCCCTGCAAGTAAATGGAGGAAAATGAAGAAGAGCTGCTCCTTTAATCGTAGGCTGATTCTGTTTTGTGCTTGCTGCTTTTAGGCTCACTATTGGCAGCAAGACAAGAGAGGAGCAACGAAGTGCATGGCATCATCGTGTCAAGATGAGGGCAGAAAGAGGTAGCAAGGTTGCTAGTTTGCGGAGTGAGGCTAGGGGCTGGGGTCCTGGAACTGAAGTTAGTGAGGCCAAGGTGTAAGCCAGCAGAGTGAAACTGAGGTGTATGGACAGGGGCCAGGTAGTATGCCTGGGGCTGGAGAGGATGTGAGGCTGCCAAGGGATGACAGAGGGGCTACACAGGATGGAAAGTGTCTTCAAAGATGTTAAGGGTGTGAAAAGGGAAAGAGTGGGTGCCATGGGAAGAATGGAGTTTTATACCACTCATCAGAAGAATTCTCAGTAATCTTGGAACAGGCAAACTGAGTTAATGGATTCCTTGCATTTTGATGTGGAGTCTCTAGATTAAACTGCAAGAGTTCAGGATCTACTGTATGGCTGAAAATGTTATGAATTCTGTTATAATGAGCACTGTGTAAACTGTATAATTAATGTTGAACAGTTTTGTAAAAGTTTGTGCGAACGCATGTCTAAGCAATGAATCACTTGAGATCCGGTGACTATGTTAGAGACAACAAAATACAGCTGTTTGGATGCAACCTTTCCAGTCTATGGAAAGCATAAACTGATGGCTTTTGTACATAGAAGTGTCTGTCAGATCTTCTTTTAAAGAAAAGCATTTGTTGGATTGTCCCTTTTTAAATACTGACATGTCTGGAAGATTAATGCTTTCCTTGTGTATTGTGGCTTTAACGGAACTGTGATAATTATTGGGAATATTGTATGTAAGGAATTAATAAATTAGAATAGTGTAATATTCAGCAGAAAGTTAGTTACTTATCCATATTTGTTCTATTTCCCAAGATTGTTCTTCAGGGCCAAGTAACTGCACGAGTGAGTGCCAAGGCTCAGCAGCTGGGAGAAAAGGCTTTTCGATGTGAATATGAAGGTTGTGGAAGACTGTACACTACTGCTCATCATCTCAAGGTATAGTTCAAAAATCATTGACTAACTTTAATCATTGCTTTAAAAAAAATCAAAAAACACTTGCGTTATTTAAATTGAAAACAAAATACTGCAGATACTGGAAACCTGAAATACAGTAAAAATAAAAAGTGCTGGAAATACTTAACAGATCAAGAACCATCTGTGGAGAAATATAGAGTAAACATTTTGAGTTGATGACCTTCCATCAGAACAGTAATTATCTAATGACTTTTTACATTTCTGGGAGATTCTGAAGCATGTAGCTGAGATGCACACAAACGTTCAGTAGGAATTTAGCCAATTGAATTTGCTCTGCCATTCATTTAAACCATGGCTGATCATCTACTGCAATGCCACTTTCCTGCACCATCACCATATTGTTTAATGGCATTAGTTTCCAGAAGTCTATCAATTTTTATCATTTCATGATCAATGATTGAGCTTCCAAAGCCCTGTGGGTAGATAATTCCAAAGATTCACTATCTTAGTGAAAAGATTCCTTCTCAAAACAATGTTAAATGGCTTATCCTTTCTTCTGAGATTATGTGCCCTGCGTCTAGACTCACTAGCCAGGGGATACATCCTATCTGTCATGCCTTATAAAAATTTTGTAGAGATCAGTTCTCACTATTAAAAACACAAGAGAATACATGCACCATTTCCTTAATCTCTCTTCTTAAAACAATCCCAACATTCTAGGGATTTCCATTGCACTCCCTCTATGAGAAGTGTTTCATTCCTTTGATGAGGATTGTACCCATTACTCCTGGTGCAGCCTCATCAAGGGTTCATACAACTACAGCCAAGACATCTTTACTTCTGTACTCAAATACATTTGCGATGAAAGCAAACATGCCATTTACTTTCCCTTTTGACGGTTGCACATGCATCCTAGCTTTCATTTACTCATGAACAAGAACACCCATATCCCTTGTACCCTTGTACTTGCTAACCTCTCACTATTTAAGAAATATTCTGTCTTTCTGCTTTTTCTACCAAAGTGGACACCATTACACTAATTTACGTTATATTTCATCCACTATGTGCTTGCCCATTGACTTAGCATCACCAAGTCCCCTTTTTGCCTTTTGGTGTCTTCCTCAGAACTTGTATTCCAACCTAATTTGGTATCATCGGTAAATCTGAAAATACTGAAACTGGTCTCCACATTAAAATGATCTATACCAAATTGTGAACAGCTATGGCTGCAGCACTGATCATTGTGGTATTTCACTGATCACAGCCTACCAACTTGAGAATAATCGGTTTATTCTTTCTCTCTCCTTTCTGTCTGTTAACTAATTCTCAATTTATACTGGTTTAATATCTTCATTCCCATGCATTCTAATGTTATTTACTAACCTCCTGTGTTGGACCTTATCAAAAAACTTCTGAAAATCGACTGGTTCTCCTTTATCTGTGCAACCAGTGACATCCGCAGAAAATTCCTACAGGTTTGTCAAACATAATTTCACTTCCATGAATTCATGTTGACTCTACCCAATTTCACCATTATTTTCTAAATGTCCAGTTGCCAAGTCTTTTACGATAGAGTCTATCATCTTTATATGACTAACATCAAATTAGCACGTCTATAGTTCACCTTTCTCCCTCTCCCTCTCCATCTCCCTCTTTCTCCCCCTCTCTCCCTTCTGAACTAGTCAGGTTGCTATATCAATGACCTTCCCTCCATCATAAGGTCAAAAGTAAGGATGTTTGCCGATGATTACACAATGTCAACACAGTGTTTACAAAGCAGGTCAGAGACTAGGAATAATATAGTGAGTAACTCACCTCCTGACTCCCCAAAGCTTGTCTAAATCTACAAGACACAAGACAGGAGTGTGATAGAATACTCCACACTTGCATGGATGGCTGCAGCTCCAACGGCACTCAAGAAGCTTGACACCATCCAGGACAAAGCAACTGGCTTGATTGGCACCACATCCAGAAGCATCCACTCGCTCTACTGCCGATGCTCAGTAGCTACAAGATGCATTGCAGAAATTCAGCAGAGATCCTTAGACAGCATCTTCCAAACCCAAGGCCACTTCCATCTAGAAGGACAAGGGCAGAAGATAGATGGGAATACCGCCACCTGCAAGTTCCCCACCAAGTGACTTATCATCCTGCATTGGAAATATTTCGCTGTTCCTTCATTGATACGGATCAAAAATCCTGGAATTCAGTCTTTAAGGGCACCGTGGGCTAACCTACAGCATGTGGACTGTAGCCATTCAAGAAGACAGCTCATCACCATCTTCTCGAGAACAACTAAGGATGGTCAATAAGTGCTAGCCTGGCTTAGCCAGTGACGCCTATGTCCCACTTGAATGAATTTTTAAAAATCATTAAAATTTAAATGCAGAATTGTGGCTAAAAGCACAAAAAACACTTTGAATCTAGTGGCTGAGGCATGAACCATGAGACAAGATGCTAAAATCAAAAACATCATTTGTGTAGCTGAGCTACCTGTGATGTCATTGACTTGGATGTGACTGAATTTCTCAGAGGCACCATCACCCTCACAAGTATCCAAAACAGAAAACTGATTAGCAAGCTAGATTGTGTTCCGTGCGATTCCTACACTACCTTCCTGATTCTCTTAGAGTGACTGGCAGTCATCCATTCCCTATCTATCTGCAACGTTCCGAACCTGTGGTGTGACCACCTTCCTAAAATTGCTATCCAAGCAGATCTGTATCTCATCTATGCTCCACGGTGATACCAGCTGCCACCTATGTTGTGAAACCTAGAATTTAAGCTAAACCAGCTGGTGGCACTCCTTGCAGGTTTACTTGTTTTGGATACATGCCATAGACTGTCCATTTCACTCTGCCGATCTGCCCTGCCATACCTTGACTTTACAGACTATCTATTTTAAGTAGAAGAGCATACCAGTTACACACCAACCAGTTTCCTCTACTGCGCTGAAGTAAGAACCAAATACTGGAAGGTGAATATTTTCATTAAGAAAAGCGAGTCCTCCCACTTGTCAACCTTTTATCGACTCGAAGTGTTTTCAATCTGCACTCTTCCTGAGCAACCAATTTGCACACAGTTAGATCCCACAAACAGCAACTAAGTGATTGACGAGACAACCTCTTTTTGGTGGTAGTTGGGAAAGGGACATTAGCCAGAAAGTAGAATTCCCTGCTTCACTTTGAATATTGGTGCAGGGTACTATTTGCATAGCTGAATGATCCCTTCAGTTTAAAGTGACAGAAATGAGTACCTTGTACCGAAGAGTAGTTACATATTATGTGCTGAATTATTTGTCTTCATTATGCACCAAAGAGAACAAATTTTGTACAACAAAGCGTCAGATTAAATTTATACTGCATGCAGAATCTTATGCTAATTTTGGACATTGAAGGACTCGTATAGCTTGCAGTCACCATTTTATGCCCTCGTTAAATTTGTCAGGATGGTTGTTTCATCTCTGCAGAGCACCACAGGAATAGCAACCAAGTGTGCAGCCTCATGGAGTAGTCAGAAATGGTTTTACACCTCCAGCTTCCTATGTGATTAGCTTCTGGTAGCAGCTATAGTTTGATGGGGAAACTCTAAGCAGATGTGTATAAAGAGTTAACCTGGGAAGAGTGCTGCAATCTCACCCAGCTCCTTTTAGTATGGTATAGAACCTTTATTGCCACAGTTTTTCTTCAACTAACACCTTGCTAAAGTTCAGTCCTATGCCACTGATTGTCCTCGACAACCTCCGTTAATTGGGAGATTCCTCTTGTTTGAACCTTAATGGTCAATATTCATAATATCCTCATGTGCACATACTATAGTAGTCAATGGACAATTAAAAAGGCCAGAAGTGTTATCATAAGGTGAGATTTTAACTCAGTTAAAACATATTTAGTTACAAAAATTTACATGACTCAACTGAAATTAGCTGATACAGCTCATAGACATTGTAAATTGAATTTGAGATCCCACCCTCACTTTGACTACTGAAATGCCCCTTTATTTTATGACCAATGATGAAGAGGGTAAAATTACAAAGAAAGAGGAAACTGATGTGAAATATCCTGAGGAAAGAAAAAGATTGATTTTTTGCATGATGTGTCAAAGAGTTGTCAACACTCAATGAATATTAGAAGTCAGTGCATTTTGTAGATAGACACAGTTTTTTTAATAGAATCCCTATAGTGTGGAAACAGGCCATGCAGACCAACAAGTCCTCACTGACTCTCCGAAGAGCATCCCACCCACACTCACCCCCTTACTCTATCCTTGTAACCCTGCATTTGTCTTGGCAAATCCACCTAATCTACACATCCCTGGACAGCAAAGGGCAATGTAGCATGGCCAATCTACCTAACCTGTACGTCTTTGGACTGTGGGAGGAAACCGGAGCACCTGGAGGAAAGTCACGCGGATATAGGGAGAATGTGCAAACTCCACACAGATAGAGGCCCGAGGCCGGAATTCAATACAGGTCTCTGATGCTGTGAGGCAGCGGTGTTAACCACTGAGCCTTCATGCCGTCCCCTTTTTTTTTGATAAGGACAGCCCATCTTATAGAATATTCTTCTAGAATCCCTACAGTGTGGAAACAGACCATTCGGCCCAACAATGAGAATATGAGAGAAATTTAGAGGAACATTCCACCAAGAGCCTACCAAACCCAAAATCTTTCATTGGTACGCTCAAAACCGAAACTTTATAAATGAATACTCATGCTGGAGTACCATTAAGATTGATACTAATTTGTTTTGACACTTTTTAACCCATTTCAATTTTATTATGTGGTCACAGGTACATGAGCGGGCACATACTGGGGATCGCCCATATAGATGTGAACATCCAAGCTGTGGAAAAGCTTTTGCTACAGGTGCTGTTTGATGCAACTTCAATCTTTATTATGTGAATGTAAAATATTTATTATGAGAAAATATTAGCAAAGTGGAAGGCCATTTGGCCCATCACAATATTACCACTGTTCACTCAATATTATACCCAACTAGTACACCATGCATGCCTGTGTAGTGAGCGGG